GTTGTACTATCGTGGTCGTTGTATGCTGAGCTTTGCGTCCGCTTTACGAAGGTAAAGTGCTGTTGAGTGCGAAAGCAACGGGGCTTCTTGACTCAAGGCTGGGTGACAAGTTTCCGGTGTGTTTCTCACACAAGTATGCACTCAGCAAACGCTTTTATTGAACTTATAGACATAGCATTTTCCAGGGAGTTTCTTGAAAAACCAGGTACCGTTTTTGCCGTGGGCTTCGACATTGCCTTATTAAAAAGAACTTTTCTTCGACCTGTCCTCTGAGTCTATTTTTAAGGACGGTTGGAATCTTTAACGTTCTGGTGTTCAGCGTTAAAACTGAAACGCATTTTACGTTTGTGCCATTTGTGGACCATCGAGTGGTCAAGCCAGAGGGTATTTAGCTCAGTGGTCTGCGGCTTGTCGCTGTGACTCTCATCCATCTCGCGAGATACTGTGGTGCAAAAGTGGCGCGAAATTCAAATGAAGACTTTTGGCGCTGTCGGCCTCAGACTTCACGGCCCGTTTGCCGGGGCGTTGTGGCGTGTCGCTATGCCGCACAGCAAAAAGTCTACGAAGCGTCGCTTTCGTAATAAGGTATGCCTCGATCATAGATCTTAAAATCTGCGAATGTCTCGTACTTTGAAGAAAAATACTTAAAACAACGAAGCAATTGATCCACGAAGCTGCAGTATGGGGTTAAGGGGATTTATTTTGTTTACCTCTTTCACTTTCAGAAAAAAGGAAAGGGAAATTTGGTAAAACAGGTCTGTTCAGACACTCCCATCCTCTTGCACACGGTTTAAACATTTACCTGTTTTCCATACAAAGGGAGGGCCCTTTCAAAAGTGCAGGATTTCCCAAGTCCGAGGTTACCCCTTCTTTCCGCTTCCTGGATCAATTCCGATTAATGACTTCATTTGGGCCGGTATGAAGGGACCTTTCTTATCGTCTGCACTTTTTGGGACAAAAGGACAGGGGTTTTTAACAGGTTTTCAGATTTGCCTCGAAACCCCCATTGGGCACGGTATGAAACGGTACCCTTTTTCCGGAAGCCTTGGCAGAGACTAGGCTTTTCCAGAGGTTCACTAGGGGTTCATGGGAAAACCAGGAACCGTTTTTACCGTGGAACTTCTGTACTTCTTTTCCGATTACATGACTTCATATATGGAACTGGTAGGGACCTTCCGTACTGTATTCGTCTGTACATTTTCCGTACAAAAGGACGGGATTTTTAACAGTGCGAGTGCGTCTGAATCGCATTGACGCGGTAGTTGATGCTTGCCCTTGCCCTGACTATTTGGGAGCGTCTGCTCCGGGGACCACGCGGGACCCATGCCTGTACGTAGGCACCTACGAGGCGAACGCACCTCTGGCGCGTCGCGACCGCTGTACTCCCTCTGCCCCTTGTTTCTGTCTGTCTGTCTCTCTCTCTCTCTCTCTCTCTCTCTCTGCTCCCCTTCCCTCCCTCGGTTGTATTCACGCCCGGCGCCAAAGTGCTTTTTGTGGCCTATTATTGCGATTCGTGCTTCAATTTTGCCCGCGCCGCTGTGCCCGAGATTTGCGCATACTGCGGTGCCATTCGCTCCCCCTCCCCTCCCTCTTTTCCCCTCCCCCTCCCCTTCTTCTTTTCTCCCCCTCACGCTGTGGCTGCCTCCCTTATTGGCCATGCGGCTGCCCGCCCTATACCTGGCTACAGCCTGGCTAGCCTGGCTACAGTCCCCGGGCGGCATTTGTTGAATGTGAGTAATAGCGAGCCGCTCCTTGAATTGAACCGGGCCTCGGCCCCTCTCATCCCGTTATCTCTCTCTCTCTCTCTCTCTCTTCTCTCTCTCTCTCTCTCTCTCTCTCTCTCTCTCTCTCATCCGCAGCTCCCATATCCCCAACCTCGAAAGGGAGATAGAGAAAAAAGCTCTGCCCTCCAACCACAGGCTCTGTATTATTAAATTGTGTTTCCTGTTTTGATAGGCTGCCGTTGCGTCAAGAAATTGCTTGAATAAAGAGTGACTCTCTCTGAACCCACAAGAGAGTGAGGGGTTGCATGTAGTCGGATAGTAAATATTCCGGGCTGCAAAAAAAATTTCTAGGAAAGCCAGTCATGTTATTGACAACTAATGCATATTTGTCAACTTTCTCTACGAAATGTATGAGATTGCACTCCAATCTCCAGGCTTGCATTGTAAAACTTTGTTGCCACTTTATGACAAAAATCGTGGATCGATGTCACTTTCATCACTTCAAAATGATGGCAATGTCATCACGAACTGCTGGCATTTTTATGTAAGTTCCAATTGCACGGGCGCGTGTACAATTGTCATTAACTGGTTTGGTGACATTCTCAGGAGGAAAATTCTCCTTCAACTGGTCATGGAGTGAAAACCAAAACTTTTTAAGTGTGAGTGAGATTGCGTATTACTTTCGCGGTCCGTCTCGGAACCATTTACATCTGGCTGGCGGTAAATGAATTTGGCGAGCCGCGCGGCGTCCATTCGTCTTGCCGTCACTCTGGAAGCTAATCGTCGAGTCCGCAGACCGATTCCGAGAGTCGTCGCTCTGTCTCTCTCGCACTCATGGGCCGTGCCGTGTAGGTGCGAGAGAGACAGAGCGACGCGAAAACGACTTTCGGAGTGCGCCCCACCCCTCCACCGCCCTCCGCGGGGGAAAAAGTTCTCGACTTGAGGAGCGAACTGTGACCGAGTTGGGTCAGCGCGGTTCGCGTGCGAGCGAGTGAGGCCGTGCCAGGCCGTGCGCCGCGGCGAGCTGCTTTCGAAGAGCAGCGCTCTGTCTCTCTCGCACTCGTGGGCCGACCCGTGGGGCTGCGAGAGACTGTGTGGAATCAGCCTGCAGGGACGGACCTTTCGGGACCTTTCCGAGTGGACCTTTAAGGGAAGCCTTTCTTCCTTTCCGCTCCGGCATCGTCTGCAGACTGAGTCCGGGAGTCTGTTCGTCGTCGCTCTGTCTCTCTCGCACCCGCACGGGACGCCCCATGAGTGCGAGAGAGACAGAGCGACGGACTCTCGGAATCAGTCTGCTGGACGTCATCCGAGGAGCAGGAGCCGCTGGGGAGAGGACCCGGCCCAGCAGCCAGCGGCGCTGCGCTGGACCGAGCAGAGATTCCCTTCTCTTCAAACTTAGTGTCGCTTCAATAAATGCGCAATTTCCTCCACCCGCTGCGCTACACCGGGGAAAATACGAACCGATGTCTCAGTGAACACGGAAGAAATGTTTTTGGGCATCCATTTGCACGGACGTCGTGTGTTGACATGTTTTGGTGACCCAGGAATTACTTATTTATTTTTTTTACGTCTCCAGAGACGACGACAGTGCATTTATCACACTTTTATCACACTTGACATACTAATCAAAGCTTACGTGACATTCTGTTTTTGTTGTTTTTCGTCCGAAATCGATGAATCGCGGCCAACAGAAAGCGAAAGCTTCTGAGCTTTTGGCCATAGTTTGGTTTCTGCAAATTCTGAAGCTGGTTTGGCACACTGAGAAAACCTTACAAACTATTTTGGGCCTTACAAAGAAAAGTAGTTTGTATAACAAAGTATTTTGAGCATACATAAGCTTACAAAGTAAATACTTCGTAATTTACGAACTATTTCTTCGTATAACAAAGTATTTTAGTTTGTTATATGTATGCTCATAATACTTCGTAAGGTTTTAAGAGTGAACCTATCAACTGAAAAACGTTATGAACACGGTAAAAACGGAACCTGGTTTTCCCAGGAAGCCAATGGTGAAGGTATAGGCGATTTCCAGGAAGTTCCTGGGAAAACCAGGAACCGTTTTTACCGTGAAATATTTTGGGAAAATGTGGGCCCAAGCACCACTTTTCTTTTTCAAAGAGGCCTCGCAAACTTATTTAATACATATACTCAAAATTTTTTGTATAAAAAATTCGCAATTTTCTTCGCAGCCGTGATTTGGAATGCTGTACGAGTGTGGTTTTATCAGCCGATGCTCGCTGTTTCCATCTTTGACTGTACGCCACTTAGCGTAACAGACATTAACACGACAAAAGAATGAAAAGATGTGGAAGCAATTGGTGAGGCAAGTGAGAGATTCAAATGGCCGTGTGAAGAATCCAACGAAATAGTGGGCCTGACGGCTCTGCTCTGGTGTCACGATGTTTACCTTTTGGCAGTTGAGCTGCGAAGCTCAAAAAGATGCCAACGATGCCTCAACAGCGCCATGGCTCACAAATTCTATTTTCGTTCCGAAACTTCTCGCATGTTCCTTGCTGACGCCACACTGGTAGCCGACGAATGTGACGTCATATTCGTTCGAATGTGAATTTTGTCACGTTCGTTTGAATATGATGTCACATTCGTTTGAATGTTGATTCACGTTCAAACGAATGTGAAACCCTACTTAAACGGCCAAGTCACGTTCAAACGAACGTGACATCACATTCAAACGAACGTGACAAAATTCACACTGCAACGAATATGGCGTCACATTCGTTGGCTACCAGTGCAAAACCCAGAGTACAGGCTTCTTACGTTACGCATGAAATGCTAAAATGAGCGGTTTGTACGTTATGTATCTGTGCAGGTGTAAGTTGTGAACAAATTTGTATTCACACGTTGGATACAATTTTATAAATACTTTAGCACAATATGGAAATGTTGTCCCTGATTGAGATAGTATCAAATTGTCCGTTGCTTGCTTGCAGCAGATGCACAAACATGCCGAAGTTTCGGACAACGACAGTCCATAAACATTTTTAGTGTGCATCAAGACAACGACAAAAGCCGTCCATTGACTTTCGGGCAAATACCCACAGAATTCCATCATTATTACCTTAAGTTTGATACCAAGTCTAAATACTCGCCAATTTCATCGATGTCTCCGTTCCTCGCGGCCTTGTGCGTCGCGTGCCGTTCACTGCGGGCCATAATGACCGCGGCCACACACGTGGAAATTTTAGTGTGGGAATCGGCGTGAGTTTCCACGCCGGAGCGGACTGCCTGGCCGCCTGCTCCTCGAGCACAGATGCAAATGTGTCGGGAAGCGCGGCGTCCAGTGAGTCGAGCGGTCATATCCCCGCGGCTTGCGTCGCAGGTCAGTCCGTTCTGCGAGTGCTGGTGGTGCGGCGTGGCAGGCCCGCCATGGGCCTGGTGACGGAGCTGCTGGTGGTGGCCGTCGTGGCTACACTGGTGGCGCGGTTCCTCTTGCAGTACCTCCGCTTCCGGAAGATGGAACTAGCGATCCCTGGACCGCCCTCGCTGCCGCTGCTGGGCAACGCCGTGGACTTCCTGACCGCCACGCCGGACTCGGCCATGCGCACGGTGCTACGACTCATCGGCGACCGCCGCGGACTCTGCCGCTTCTCCATCATGAACCACCTGCTGGTGGCCGTCAGCAGCCCGGACGACATCCAGCACCTCGTGCGCCGCGCCGAGTTCAACGACAAGTCCCACTTCTTCTACGACTTCCTCGACAACCCGAGGGGCCTCCTGCAGCTCCGCGGCGCGGACGCCAAGCTGCGCCGCCGCTTGCTGGAGCCGGGCTTCAACAAGAACGTGCTCAACAGGTGAAATTCTGATTCAGATTCGTGATCAAACCCTCACGCTTAAAACCTTACAATTTTGAGCATACATAATACAAACTAAACTAATAAAGTAACAGTTCGTACAGTACGAAGTATTTTCTTTATAAGCTTATGTATGCTCACACTGTAAATGTCTTTCGGTGAAAGGCTGCACCAACATATTATGGTGGAGATTTTTTTCCATAATACCAAAGAAATTCGTCAAAATATCTATAAGATACAGTTCTCAATGGTATGTTATGAAGTCAGCTGCACCACCATAATATGGAACATTTTCACCATAATATGAAGAATCTTCACTGCTCAACATTTTGAGTGCATAATACTTTGTTATAACATACTGCTTTGCTTTGGAATGCCTGAAATAGTTTGTAAGGTTTTCTCAGTGGTAGACGCCTTTATTAAACCCCTTTTCCACCTGGGCGAACAGGTTCGTGGGGATCTTCGTGGACGGCGCCAAGGGCTTCGTGTCGCGCGTGGCCGTGGACGAGGCGGTCGACGTGCTGCAGCCGCTGCGCCACGCGGCCGCCAGGAACTTCCTGCGCACCGCCATCAGCGCCGACATCTCGCAGACGGAGGCCGAGGTGATGCCCGTCGTCGACTTCTTCGAGGAGTTCCACCGCTCCGTCAACCAGCGCTCCGTCAACCCGCTGCTGTGGTCGGACGGCCTGTTCCGCTTGACACCGTTCGGCAGGAAGATGGCGCGGATGAGGCGCTCCATCGAGACGCTCTTGAGGAAGTGCATCGCGATGAAGCGGAAGGAAGTGGAGGCTCTGCGGGGGTCGAAGCACGCGCAGCAGAGGACCATCGCGGACATCTTGCTGGACCTGCACGACCGGGCTGAGATCCCGGAGCAGGACTTCCTGGACGAGATCAAGACCTTCTTCGGCGCCAACGTGGAGACGACGGTCTCCGCGCTGAGCTGGGCCCTCAAGGTGCTGTCGATTCTGCCCCGAGTGCAGGAGCGCGTCCACGCCGAGGTGGTCGCCGTCCTCGGGGACAGAGACGTCACCGCCGAGGACCTGCCCCAGTGAGTACCCCACTCTGGCGAAACTAAGCGTCGCTACGTGACTCAGGAAAAGAACATGAACTCAATTGATGTAATAAGGATGGATATGTGTTCATGTACTTGAGTACCTTTTGCTCTATTGCTCTGAACTGCCTGCGAAAACAACGAATATGAATTTTCATAACATGATTGTACAAAAATTGTCATCACTTTGTGACGACAGTGTCACTATGTGACGACAGTGTCACTTTGTGACGACAGTGTCACTTTGTGACGACAGTGTCGCTTTGTGACGACAGTGTCACTATGTGACGACAGTGTGGCTTTGTGACGACAGTGTGGCTTTGTGACGACAGTGTGGCTTTGTGACGACAGTGTCACTTTGTGACGACAGTGTCACATTGTGACGACAGTGTCACTTTGTGACGACAGTGTCACTTTGTGACGACAGTGTCACTTTGTGACGACAGTGTCATCAATTGCAAGTGATTTAAATTTCATCCACGATTTTCTGATAAGTGACAGCAAACTTGTACATTCTTTCGCTCCTTCCAGGCTCAAGTACCTGGAGCGCGTCGTCAAGGAGGTGCTGCGCATGTTCCCGCCCATCCCGTTCACGGCGCGCCAGTGCCACCGGCGGACCAGGCTGTGCGGCCACACCGTCCCGGCGCACTCCACCGTCATCCTCAACATCCACGGCGCGCACTTCGACCCCGAGCACTGGCGCGAGCCGCGGCGCTTCGAGCCGGACCGCTTCCTGCCCGAGAACAGCCAGGGCCGCCACCACTGCGCCTTCATCCCCTTCAGTGTAGGCGCCAGGAACTGCATCGGCGGCTTGTACGCCATGATGGCCTTGACCGCCTTCCTCGCCACCACGGTCAGGGCCTTCCGGGTGCTGCCCGCCGACGGCCACCGCGACCTGCAGAGCCTCGCCGACAACATGGCCTTCGACTTGACGTCCAGGCTCGTGGGCGGAACCAGGGTTCGGTTTCAGCCCAGACACGTTTCGGGCACGGGCGGACAAACATAAGGACAGTTCACTCTGAAGACCTTACGAACTATCTTGGGCTTTACAACACGGTAAAAACGGTACCTGGTTTTCCCAGGAAGCCTATGGTAGAGACATAGGCGGAAAACCACGAACCGTTTTTACCGTGAAACTAACGCAGCTTCTTGTAACCCAGCATTTTGGGCGTACATAGGCTTACGGACAAATTCTTCGTATCAGAAACGAAATAATTTGTACCGTGCTCAAATTACTTCGTAAGTTTTTCAGCGTGATAACTTTCACGTTTTCGGCGGTATCTCTATGACGGTACGAATAGGGTCAGATAGGGTGATTTCGGGACAGCTCTTTCCTGGGTAAAGTTTAATATTTTTGAACTCATTCCATGCCGAACAAATGTTGTGTTTGTATTACACGGCGTAAGTTTTAAATTTTCGAACTATTTGAATGAAGCAGCTGTCCCACTTTAACCCCGTGACCTAATCTTAGCGTCAACTGACCCTTGTTGCAACTATAAGGGCTTGACTGAAAAGCTGTAGTTCCACTGAGTATAAGTAGTTTTAGGGCCAAATTTAGGGCCCAAAGACTGGTTTGATTTTTCTGGATCATATTATTACTAAAAACTTTATGCATCTTAAGGTTTTTTCCAAAGCTTTAGAGGTAGCGATTACTCATACCGTTCAAGAAATATTGCCGATAAGGTAAAAATATTTTTCGATGCATCGAAAATACATGTGTTTGCGCGAACACCCTGACCAGAAAGAATTCTAACTGATTAAGTTCTGTGTTGCAACCCGGATTACATTTGAGGGCTTCAAGCGGCAATGGAGTACGATGCTACTAAGACCAGAAACTTGACATTAATCTATTTATTGTACTGTTACTGTGATCAATAAAGTTATTTTCACAACATTTGTTGTTGCTTGATTTGGCGCAGTAAGAACGAAAGAAATCCTCTTCTATCCTGCCAGAAAAATGTGATGTTACGTCAGACGAGAGAATGCACTGCCATAACCCGAGTGATTCCTCAACGCTATTTCCATACATTTTTCTCGGGACCTCGATCCTCTTTTCAACCCTTACCCTCCACAGGGCGGTGCGGGAAAACCGCATTTTCGTCAAAGAAGGAAGAAGAAGAAGAAGAGAGAAGATTCCCCAGAGGCGGCAGAAGGGCAAACGAGTGGAAGAGTGGGGTAGGACGGCCGGGAGGGGTTTGGCCGGGGGGGGGGGGACTTCCTGTGTGCCAGGCCGCCGGCAGACTGATTCCGAGAGTCGTTCTCGCCGCTCTGTCTCTCTCGCACCCACACGGAACGCCCCATGAGTGCGACAGAGACAGCGAAAGTGACTCTGAGGCCGTTGGGGTGACACAGGCTGGGGAGGAATTCCGCCGGGGAAAAGGCGTCTCTCTTTACTCCTGTCAAATACTTTCGAATGTGTGTGCGCGCGTGTCAGAGTTGCCCTCTGCGAAATGTTTGCTAACAGTGGCGTTTTTGTTTTTGTTTGCTTCCAGGTGAGGCGGGTGCGGACACCGCAGCACGGCGGCGGCGCTCGTCGCGTGAAATGAAACGGTAGGGTCGGACGGAGAGCGTGACGAAAGGGCCGCTACGCGTCGCCCCACTGCTGCCGCTCTTGGCACTCAACGGGCCCGCACCCTAATGGATGTGCAGCGCAATCAGTCAAGGAGATTGTTAGGTTAGGAGGCGGGTAGTACTCGGGCTGCACCGCAAAAAAAACCTTACAAACTATTTTTGGCCTTATAAAGAAAAGCAGTTTGTTATAACGCAGTATTTTGAACATATCTCAGCTTTCAATGAAAATTAAATTACGAATTATTTCTCCCTATAACAAAGTAATTTAGTTTTTTATAATGTGCCAAGTATTGGATTTGTCAAGCGTGCTCTCAACTAAGTGTTCTAGGTAGATCATGTCAGGAATTCAAGAATCCTGAGCATACTAAGATACAGACTTCTAGGTGCATACGATCAGTGCTGCGTAACCATGTAGAAGCAGTTATTTATATGCTTTGCCTACCCAGAGACTGTGTACATAAGCCAGAATGCACTTTAGGTCGTAAGGGGGTGGCGTAAGGCTATTTCAGAGTGCACTCCCAAGTAGAGTGTACGTGTTACAAGAAATTATTGCGTCTACGTATACAACAAATTAGTTTAATTCTGAGTTTAATTGTAAGATATTTCAAGTGAGAGAGAGATTTTTTTTTCACTAGAGGGGAATGATACTCGCGATTCATTCATTCAGTTTTCAAGAACCGCTTTCGGTTGGTACGCTTATCGCCAGCATACTCTCCTTTTTGAAGGACTCGACGAAAGAGACAGGGAGAGGGGGAAGGAGGGGGCAGGTTGGAAGGGGGGTGGGGGTAATTGCTGAAAATGTTTCGAGTGTGGCTGTTTTCCTCTCCACTGGATGTGGGGTGAGTTGCGTGTGGTTTGCGGTTCTCGCGCAATCGCTTTTTCATCGATTCGCGTCAAACTTCTATTGTGGGCCAAACAGGAAGACTGTCGTCGAAACAACTGACATTTCGGGTTGAGTCGATATTTTGAGCTGATTGTTTTTGCCGTTTGTATTAAAGCTCTTCTCCTGTTTTTATTTCTCTTCCCTCCCATTCAACTATGCGGTATAGTTTGCGTGATGAAAATGGTCGCCGTTTAACGTCAACTTTCTGTGAATCTGAAGCCGTTCCTTCCCCCAAACTACCTGCTTCCGTACGGGCGCTCCCGGAAATCATTAAATCTGAGGGTCTATCGCCGCAAAACGCAGAGACGGCGGCAGCGGACATGTCACGTCCCCCTTCCTCCCTCCCGTTTTTTTTATTCCCATTTTTCTGTCCCAATCGTCCCGTCTTTCACAAAGTGTCACGGCGAGAGTCAAGTTGTTAGTGGTCGCGCTGTGCCAGCTTACTGTCCCCTTCCGACGACTCTTTTCCTCTCCGTCCTTCTTCTTCCTTCCTCCTCCTTTCCGTCCGTTTTGCTGCCTTTTTCCTGCGCGCTGCCGCCACCTTTCAGCGTGCGGCGGGAAGGTGTCTTGTTAAAATGGTGTTTGGCCGGCACACAGTGGGCCAGAAACCGGTGGAGGCGGCCGAAACTCTAGACGCGTTTTGAGCTCCAGAGTCGCTAAATGGGACTCGATCCGAACGTGTGAGCCCACCAATGGATTCCTCGTTCGGAGAGCAATCCATTGGTGGGGTCACACGTTCAGTTCGAGTGCCATTTAGCGACTCTGTAGCTCAAAACGCGTCTAGAGTTTTGGCCGCCTCCACCGGTTTCTGGCCCACTGTGCGGCAGCGCGCAGCGCGGCAGCTCGGCGGCAGTGGACCCAAAGGGGCCGCCGAGGCAACTTAGTTGCACGGATGAGGTGCGAGCCTTCCTGTCAGTGCCCTACTACTCGCTCACTCTCGTCTCCCCCGCGATGCTCCTTTTTCGGGACCCTACTTTTGAAACTTCTGTTAAGCGGCCTGCTTTGACACCCTCGGATAGTTGAAAAACACGTAATCAATGTAGGAGTCGCAAAATTCAGCTTCAAAATCAAAAAGACACTGTTTGCAATGCCGCGGCCTCTAAAATGCAGTGCGTTTAATGTTCAGTTTCAAGCAATTTGCAAATTTTGCACAGCCAAAAATATAGCCTCGGTCCCGTTTTTGTTCAAAACGTCCATATTTAGCTTTTTTTATGAACTGCGCGAACCAATGTGGGGTTCTTCCACGAAGATTTGCACAGCATTAGGCTAAAAAAATTGCGTGTTCAAAATGTACATCCTGTCGCTAGAGCAAACGAAAATTATTTTAACTGTTGACAAAATCTTTCTTTTGAGCGGTAAGAGTAATCTCAACAATTTAGACTTCGCTGAAACGCGTAAGGCTACTTTCAGTTATTTTACAACCTGGTAATCACACCATTCTACAAAATATTTTTTTTTTACAAATGGGTCTTTTGTGTTCGTTCAAGCAGAGCAGAAACTGTTGCCGTTTCTCGTAAAGTTTAAGAGATATTACCGCAAACTTGAAATCAATTTTGATTGCACTCAAAATGTGTTACAATGAAATTTGAGCTACGTTACAGTAAATTCGACGGAAGCATGATACGAATCTCTTTCGCATTTCTTTTGAGAAAGTAAAAGAAAGGCCTTCTTAGAAAGAAGAAAAACTACCTTCGTATTGTGCCGTTTCCTTCTTATCACAGAAAATTTCCCCCGAATCACTGGTAGCCAACGAATGTGACGGGTCTAGGACAACTCGTCCCGACCGACTCGTACCTGGCACAATACGTCCCGGGGTTATCCCGTTCCAACCCAAGTGGTCCCCGTCCTAAATCGTCCCAATAATTATATATTATGAGTAATTGTTATTATTTGAAATTGGCCGTATTTTTCGATGGGTCCTATGAATAGCTGCTTCGCGTCGTACCAACAAAAACATATGTTTGCTAGGGTGCGCCAAACATAAATCTGCTTTTAGGAATCTTCCTGATTCTTAACTTGAAACCCACTATGCGGCCACTGTGTTAAAGCTTTTATTTTCGGTATTACAGTTTCGCATTCCTATAAGTTTCTCAAACATTAATATCTTATCGAATCATCCACTTTCGGCACCTTAATGTGCCAGGAAGGCTGAAAGAGGAAGAAGCGCCTCTAGCCCAAAAGCTGATATTGTTGGAGCGCCCTGGAGCACTTCTGTCTTTGTGCGTGTTCAGTCCTGGCGCAAAAGCTATGCATTAAGTAACTCCGTAGTGATTTAGAGTGTAAGCTTCACCACGCTGTGCTGCATGTACTAGTTACTAGTAACCGGCCTGGACGGCTCCTGGCTGGACCGGACTAGGACCAATAATGGTTCGGGACGAGTTGGCCGCCCCGTCGGGACGAGTTCGAAAAATGCCCCGGGTCGAGATAGGCCCGGGACGAGTGGGACGCGGGACGAGTTGGTCGGGACGAGCTGTCCTGCTCCCAATGTGACGTCATATTCGTTCGAATGTTGATCCACGTTCAAACGAATGTGACAACCTACTGAAACGGCCGCGAGTCACGTTCAAACGAATGTGACATCATATTCAAACGAACGTGACAAAATTCACACTTTAACGAATATGACGTCACATTCGTTGACTACCAGTGAAGACATTTAGAGTGTATGTCAGCACACTGGCTGCGGCTCCGCCACGGTACCTCGACGTACCCCGGCATACATTTGGCAGATTGAATGCCGTCTGTCCCCCGCGTGCCGCGTGCAGTCCCCGCCGGTCCTTTCAAAGCCAAAGATGCCGCGTCATTACAGTTATTTCTTGAGCCTCCCCGCCGCGCCAGTGTTCTATTCATCAGACCGCCTTTGTACCTTCCTGTGATTCCAATGCGGCCCGGATGAGCCTCGACCGCGCTTCTCCTTCTTCTTCCTCTTCTTCTCTCTCCCTCCTCCGCGTACATTCAGCCGTCTTCCATCTCCGTCTCTTCTTATACGCACTGGAAAAGATCACGGCGGCTGCTGTGCTACAGCCTGGCCGGTAGGCAGCAGGGGATGTGTGAGTGCAGCCGTGTCTTGCGGGCCTGCCTATCCCTCTTTAGTTAGGGGCTTCGACGGCAGCTATTTCTTCGAAAAACTTAAGTTTGCTGAAGATTTAACTGTAATCTTCGATCAACGTACCAGATGATCATTGCACTCTGATTCCAGGAACGTGGCATCACGTTGAAACGAATGTGACAACCTGTCCGATCACGCTTCTTTGAGCATTGTCACATTCGTTTCAATGTGAATCCGCCATAAACTAGCTTATTCACATTCAAACGAATGTAACGCCACAATTTAACGTGACGTCACGTTCCTGGGATGAGTGTGTGTTCTGAGTTTTACAAGTTAATC